TGTATTATATATTTATATATATATTTCAAAAGAGGGTTATTACAGGTCAGACACAAAGAACAATGGGTGTGAGAAAGAAAAACAATCGTCTAAATCTGGGGAGTGCAGAGATGGGTTCCTGACATGAAAAGATGACACTATGTTACGGCAGACGAGAAAAGAGGGTGTGAATTGATGGTAAGACTGAACAAATGAGAAACCCTGCATTACAGGGATTGGAAAATATCCACACAACGTCTTATTCAAACAATGAAATTTGAAAAAAAAAAGAAAAAGGAAATACAGGGGGCCGGGGTGTGAGAAGTTTGGGCTGCCAAGGCAGTGATTTAAAAAAAAATAACCCACGAAGGCGTGGGAATAGATCTGAGGAAAGGAGGGGAAAAAACAACTGTTGGGAGCAGAAGTCGGGAAGGAAGATGTAACTGACCAGGACAAGGGTGGATGTTACAATGCCTGGTCTCGTTGTGGTCACCCTGGCAGTATTTCCCGCCATAGAGCGTGCCGTTACAGGTCCGCTCCCTGGTCTGTTCACCGCCTCCACACGTCAGGCTGCACTGACCCCACGGTGACCACGGTACCCATTCTCCGTCCTCTGTTGGGGTACACAGACAGGGGTTATTTATTTTGGGTCGCTTTCTAAACAATGCAGGTTGATTCATAACAACAAGAAAATGTTTAGAACGTTTTAGAGTACACAGGGTTTCCCTTTTAAACCACTTTTAACATAATGTAGGTTGATTCATAATTTAAAAAAAATGTTTACATGCAATATCTTGGGGCATACAGACCAGGTTAGATGTTAGAGGCCGCCTTGCACACAATGTAAGTTGATTCATAACAAAAAGAGAATGTTTACAACGTTTTGGGGTACACAGGGTTCCCTTTTTAAGACCGTCTTTCAAATAAAGTAGGTTGGATCATAATGGGAAACAAAATGTTTGTATGTATGTATAGTATAAGGTTTTACGGCGCTCGCAACTGCTAAGGTCATATGAGCGCGCAGAAAATGTTTACAGCACCTTGGGGTACACAGGCAGAGGTTTTTTTTTGTTTTAGGTCTCGATCACCTTTCACACAATATAAGCTTATTTATAGCAAACAGAAAATTTTTACAATTGTTTGGTATCATGCTGGACGACGGAGCGGACAGCCAAAGTTCAAATCCCAAACTGGGCGTCCTTGAACTCGGGTTGTTTGTGGAGTTGTAAGACTCTAAACCCATTTGTTTCGGTCCTACCGGAATTGGACTCAGAGATCACATCTCTTAAATAACCTAATGGTGTTGATAGGTTTGTTAAACCCAAACACTTACTCTGTTTATATGAAGCTATACACGTTGTTGTTTCATACACAAAGTCCATTGTATCAACAAAATATTCACGATCATGCGTCGCTGCAGCAAGCAATCCTCTTAAGTCCGTTTGGGAACTTTTTATTTCAGAGACCAACAAAGAAAAAAAAACAACAAAAAACTTCAAAACAAAACAAAACAAAACAACAACGACAACAACAACAAAAAACAACAAAAAACAACTACTATATCTAGTTTTTTTGTTGTTGTTCTCCTCACGAATCACGAAAAGCACGAAAGTTTGAAAGCCTTGGCCGCAGCATTAAACTGCATTCTGGTGATGTTGAAAGGTGCATTTGGTCGCTTTTAAGCACGAGGGGGCTCTCCCGAAAAATGCTTTTTTTGAAGAAAATCGAAGGACAAATTTTTGAACCCGTGTTCAGTTTCTTTAACAGACAAGGAAAGTTTTCTCTATAATCAAACAAATACACACACCAATGAAACCAAACTTCTCCAAAAGGTAGGACAATGCCCACTTTTGGTGTAGGTCAAGATTTCTTGAAACCCCCGAAATCTGGGTTTGCCCGCTCGTCCTTAAAAGCGACCATTTTTTGCTAGAACTTTGAGAGTGTCTAAAAATCAAGAATTCACAAAATTTGGACGTTTAAGTGAATAGCTTGAGACATCGACGAAACAAGTCTCTAACTTAAATTAGAAGTAGAAAGTTCTATCTAACACTTTTGGTCGATTCGAGTAACTAAGACCATGAGTTCTGAAACAACATGTTCTATCTGTTGTATTAAACTTGTAAGATTATTAGGCGTCGTTATCAGGGTATTGCAAGACATGTTGTGAAACTCACACTTTTTTTAGGTCAAATTTCTCAAAATAGGTACTGAGCAGATATAGAATGTTGTAATTCTGAGGTAGCAAAGTTTTGAGCAAGACCTACCTGGACAGTTGTGCTCGTTACACGCCATCGTCTGCTCCCAGTCGCCCGTGCAGTTTTTCCCTAGGAAGAAGGGGCCGGTACAGTTGCGGCTACGCCAGGCCACGCCTCCTCCGCATGTGGTGGAGCAGTCAGACCAGGCGGTCCACGGTTCGAACACGCCGTCAACTGAAATTAGGGCCAGGTTATCCATTACTGGGAGGCAGAACATTGTCGGGGAACATTCCGGATCAGAATCATCAGAGGGTTCGGCAAAGTTCTATCTTATGTTAAACGTGTATTGCAAAGTTATATATATTATGAAATAGTATGTGAATGGCCAAGTTCTGAGTTACGTAATATGTGCATGACAAAGTTTTTTGTATTGTAATGTGTGTATGTCAAGGTTTAATTTTATTTTATATCACTATGACAATGTTCTATGTTATGTAATACCTGTATGAAAAAGTTCTACGTTATGTTATATGTGTACGATAAAGATTTACATTTTGGTTAATGATTTTGACAAACTTCTGTGTTGTTTTATTAATATGAAAAGTTCTTCGTTATTTTTAATGATAAAACAAGGTTCTATGATATGTTATATGAGTATGAAAACGTACACTGTTCTGTTATTTGAAACACACAAGTATTTTTCTTCAACATAATCAGTTCAGAGAACGTGAACGAAATTCTGTCACGTCTCCATGACAAAAATGAAAATCAAGACTAATTGAAAACTAATAAATGTCAGTGAAACTTGGTAGACAATACATTGTCTGGACAATGCATCGTCGGCTTTTTACTTTTACTTTCCAGCTAGCGAGAATTAATTACTCTTACAACTCACACCATTTGACACAGCTCTGCAAGAAATAAATCCGCGCAGTAAGATCTACTTTTTTCTTACAAACAGACAGGAACATTGTCTATTAAAGATCGTTACAGTTATACTGTTACAGCTTGTTAAAGAAAACCTATTACCCATTACTATGACAACATTTGTACGGATAGTTACAGTACAGATAGTAGTGGCCGTTATAGTAAAACTACTACGGATTGTTGCATTAAAACTATAACAAATTGTAAGTTTCACGAGAAGAGTTGATTAAGAAAATGGATAAATCGATAAGGCGGTAGAGAAAAGCTGGTTAGTGAGGTGATCAACTGACAATAAATATATCCAGTGCAAGTACTTCGTTTAAAAAATGATATAGTCAAGAGTAGAGGAAATACACCAGCATTGTACATGTAAGCGTTTTCATTACTGCATACGATAAACACATTGCAGCTTATAAAAGATAATATAGGAATGAAATGGAAAACATTGAGACATGGTCTGAGTCCTCTGTACATCGATAAAAGGCATATGTTGTTAGTGGAAGAAAGCCTGTAAATGTGAAAGCATCGGGCTAATACATTTTAGAGCGGCTAAAGTATTCATCTGGTTGGTCTTTATAGTGATAAGACTTAACCCATGAATCTGCACTGAGAGCTGAAACTTTGGAAGCGATTTTCTTCGAACAGGACGTTTGCAGTTACAGTAATATAATGCTTCTCAACCCTCTATTTGTACTTTGAGACAAATAACATGAACTGAATACGTTTGTACATTGATACATGAACTGAATACATTTGTACATAGATACATTTGATACATGAACTGAGTACATTCAATTTGTACTTTGATACATGACCTGACGACATCTGTACTTGAATGCATGGACTGAGTATATTAATTGTACATGGACTGGGTACATATGTACATGTATTAGTGCAGACTGCGCCCAACAGCACGCCCCAAAGGTTCGGGAGGCCGAGGAAACGCGCGGCGGCACGAAGCAAGCGCTATGTATGTACATTTTAGTTAGTTCACAGTGCGCACAACAGTGAGACAGTTATAATAATTATCATTGTGTAAAAATGAACGCGTGCAAGCAGGCAGGCGCTGTGTAGTCGCTGGAGCGCTGTGTTTGAATGTTCACCGCCAGGAGAGATATATCATAAAAGCTGATCACCCCGCCCCCACGCCCCCATCCCCATCCCCTCA